GTCCATAAACAGATTTATTGGAGATGAAAGAAAAAGTGTATAACATATACACAATGAAAGTAGTATTCCACCAATAAAAAAAAGAATTGAGATTCGATCATTGCAACAACACAGATGGAAAAACGATATCTTTTATATATATGTGTATATATATATATGTTCTCAGGACACAGAAATGATCAAACCACTTTCATTTGTTTCTCACTTTTCTGTTGGGTGAATTCTATAACTTAAACTGAACTTCACCATGGAGCACCGGAGAGTAGGTAGAAGTTTTATTTTTGTGTTTTATCAAGGAGGGCTGGGAAAGGTAGTGGCTGAGGTGAGGGGTTACCAGAACAGGTTTAATGGTACACCAAAAAAGAAAATTAGAGTTAAGACCTTACTATTTGACGCAACCCAATTAGGGGATGGATATTTTAGGTCAATAGTAAACTTAGTGTTACATTTTTAAATTAACTTTATAAGAGTATTAAAATGGAATCTTTGTAACTCAAAAGGAATAAATGCCCTTAGGAGGATAGACACCCCATCCTCCATGATTGTGCCTTATTTCAATTGGTATCCCTGTATCAAAAACAGCTCCCAACAATTTTACCAGCAACATCCTTTGGCCTCAATCATCTTTCACCTAAGGGTAAGGGCACTATGTACCCCCAACTATGTAACCTGAGCACTGTCTTCTTTGCTCAGTAGCACATTCTCTTTTGTTCTTTCTTTCCTGGCTGAGTCTGATTCTAATTCTCTCCAGTGAGTCATCACTTCATAGAGGAAAGAAGTAACAAGTATTTCATGGGCCAACTCTACTGTTAGGACAGAATTTTTCATTCCGGAGCTCATGAGGCCCACGTATCTTCTTCACAGGCCCCAGGCCCTCCCTGTTTTCCACAGCGTCTAACTCTTACTCTCATACTTTTGTTGTCTATTATTTTCAGACAAAATCCTAACTCTAGGATTCTAACTTTAAACTACTTTTTGATAATCCCCTAAGTCAGTGTTGTTGGTTTGACATTCCCAGATATCTCACATCTTTTGAATGTATTTTCACTATTTTAAAGACCTTAAAGAGTTCTTTTAAAACAAAAGGGTTGCACCCAATGGCTTGTGTCTGTAATCCCAGTACTTTTGGGGAGGATCACCTGAGGGTAGGAGTTTCCCACCAGCCTGGACAACATAATGAGAATTCGTCTCTACAAAACAGTTTAAAAATTAGCCAGGCATGGTGGCACATGCCTGTAGTCCCAGCTACTCAGGAGTTGAGGCGGTAGAGTTGCCGGAGACCAGGAATTTGAGGCTGCAGTGAGATATGATCACCAACTGTACTCTAACCTGGGCAATAATCTCTAAATAACAGTCTCTAAACAATAGTCTCTAAATAACTGATACACTATGTAAATAAAAAAATTACCAAAAAGCAGAACAATTCACAGCCAGCCTGTCTCACCATTGCTGTCCACATCCACCTACACCCACCCACACTCAGGAGTCACCCAACAGATTTTCCTGAAAGCAATCCCACTCCTCGCATTATCATACTTGTCAATATTTCAGTACACACGTGTAAAAGAAAAGCACATTCCTGTGCATTTCTTTCTTTCTTTCCTTTTTGAGACGGAGTTTCGCTCTTATTGCCCGTGCTGGAGTGCAACGGTGGGATCTCAGCTCACCGCAGCCTCTACGTCCCGGGTTCAAATGATTCTCCTGGCTCGGCCTCCCAGATAGCTGGGATTACAGGCAGGAACCACCACACCCGGCTAATTTTGTATTTATAATACAGACGGGGTTTCTCCATGTTGGTCAGGCTGATCTCGAACTCCCGACCTCAGGCAATCCGCCCGCCTCCGCCTCCCAAAGTGCTGGTATTACAGGCATGAGCCACTGCGCCCGGCCTCCTGTGCATTTCTTAAAAATAGACACATCCTAGTAAGTTAGCGTTCTGTTTCCCCTCCGAACAAATGGAATTACCATAATCATAAAGGAGATGGACTACTAACCAGAGACCAGACTTTCGAGGTTTTGTAAAGCAGAGCTAATACTTCACAGGGGTGTCAAATGAGGTGCTCCATAAAAAACACCTAGCTTCTAAACAGTTACGTGCTCAATCAGTAGCACCTGTTATTATTACCACACTAAAATTAACAACTTTCTTTTCTGAGACAGAGTCTCCCTCTGT